CTCCATCTCTTTCTGTCCTAGAGTGCCTGTCTTTGTTTTGGCCCATGTGGGTTTGACAGGACCTCTGCATACAGTTTAGTTTCCATGCTTCCTTCGGACCTGTTGTCTGTGTTCGATGTAGCCATTGCCGATGCTACTTCTGTAATATCTTTGTCTCTGTGCTGTTTCAGATGTCTCAGCTCCTCTTCTAATCTCTCTATCTTGATTTCTGCTGCTGTGGCCTGTTGCTTCCACCTTCTACATTCTGCTGCTAACCTCTCTTCCATCTTCCTTTCCAGCTCATCTAGTCTCCTTCCCCAGTCTTCCTCCCTTTTTTTGAGCTCTATCTCCCATTCCTCCTCTCAGATTCGTCCTTGGAGCCCTTGTCCTCATCCTGGTTAGGGGGAGGGGAATAGACGGTTAGGAGAGGGGATGGATGGTTGTGGGGGAGGGGGAGGATGGTTATTGGAGGGGCAGAGATAGTTGGGGGAGGGAGTTAGATGGTTTGGGGGAGAGAGGGGATGGATGGTTATGGGGGAGGGGGAGGATGGTTATTGGAGGGAGGGAGGTTGTTGGGCGGGGGTTAGACGGTTTGGGGAGGGGTTAGGTGGTTTGGGGGAGGGGTAGGTGGCTAGGCTAAGGTGTCAAGTGGCGGAGGGTGTGTGTGTGTGTGTGTGTGTGTGTGTGTGTGTGTGTGTGTGTGTGTGTGTGTGTGTATGTGTGTGTGTGTGTATGTGTGTGTGTGTGTGTGTGTGTGTGTGTGTGTGTGTGTGTTTTGTGTGTGTGTGTGTGTGTGTGTGTGTGTGTGTGTGCGCGTTTGTACTCACCTAGTTGTACTCACCTAGTTGAGGTTGCGGGGGTCGAGTCCGAGCTCCTGGCCCCGCCTCTTCACTGATCGCTACTAGGTCACTCTCCCTGAGCCGTGAGCTTTATCGTACCTCTGCTTAAAGCTATGTATGGATCCTGCCCCCACTACATCGCTTCCCAAACTATTCCACTTACTGACTACTCTGTGGCTGAAGAAATACTTCCTAACATCCCTGTGATTCATCTGTGTCTTTAGCTTCCAACTGTGTCCCCTTGTTACTGTGTCCAATCTCTGGAACATCCTGTTTTTGTCCACCTTGTCAATTCCTCTCAGTATTTTGTATGTCGTTATCATGTCCCCCCTATCTCTCCTGTCCTCCAGTGTCGTCAGGTTGATTTCCCTTAACCTCTCCTCGTAGGACATACCTCTTAGCTCTGGGACTAGTCTTGTTGCAAACCTTTGCACTTTCTCTAGTTTCTTTACGTGCTTGGCTAGGTGTGGGTTCCAAACTGGTGCCGCATACTCCAATATGGGCCTAACGTATACGGTGTACAGGGTCCTGAACGATTCCTTATTAAGATGTCGGAATGCTGTTCTGAGGTTTGCTAGGCGCCCATATGCTGCAGCAGTTATTTGGTTGATGGCGCCGGAGATTCCTGTGTGGTGGTGGGTGTTGTGTGTGGTGTGTGGGGTTGTGTGTATTTGTGTTGTGGTGTTTGTTGTGTTGGTTGTGTGTGTGGGGTTTTGGTGTGGGTGGTGTTTGCGGCGTGTTTTGGTGGTGGTGGGGTGTGTTGTTGCGTGGTGTTTGTGTTGTAATTGGTGTGTGTCGGGTGGTACTCACCTAATTGTATCCCTAATTGTGGTTGCGGGGGTCAAGACCACTCCTGCCCCCCCGTTTTTCATGTCGCTACTGGCCTCTCCCCTCGCTTCCTGACTTTTTTTATCCTCTTCTAAAAAAATGTATGTCCCTGCCTCCACTACCACTGACGACTCATCGAAGAAATATTTCCTAACGTCCCGTGACCTCTGAGTTTCATTCCATTTGTGACCATTTTTTTCTTTCCCCTCTCGGAACATCCTACTCGTCCACTTGCCCTTTTCCCTGCAGTATTTTGTATTCGTTATCATGTCCCCCTACCCTTTGTCCTCCAGTGTCGTCATCCGATTTCCCTAACCTTTCCTCGTACCACCCCTGATCTGGGACACCTTTGTTGCAAAACCTTTTGTACTTTCCCCTAACTTCTTACGTGCTGACCGGTGTGGGTTCCGATGGTGCTGCAACTCCTTGGGCCTAACATACACAGTGTACATGTCTTGAACGATCCTTTTTAAGGTATCGGAACGCTATTCTCGGGTTTCCCCGGCCCCCGTATGTGCAGCATTATTTGGGTTGATTGGGGGCCTCCGTGAAATGCTCGGTGTTATGGTCACCCCCAAAAAGTCTTTTCCCGATGAGGTCTAGCTTTTTCCACCCAGCCTAACTCTGTCTGCATCTTCTTTGCCCCTCCCCAATCTATGACTTTCTTTGGGGAGGGGTTTAATTCGAAAGCCCGTTTCGGGCCACAGTCCCCTTGTCCGGGCTCTTTGCAGTCCTGCCTAAACCTCTCCATTTAATTCTTTCCTCAATTCACATCATCTGCGAAATAGGGAAAATTTGAGTCTATTCCTTTCCCTATGTCGTTCGATATATCAAAAATACACGGTCCAGAACTGACCCCTGTGGGGCCCCGCTCGTCACAGGGCCCACTGTGATCCTTTTCACGTACCCGCTTGCTGCTGCCTCCCTGTCAGGGATTTCCCCGATCCCCTTTCAGTGCCCCCCGTTATACCCTGATCCCCATTCTGCCTAATCTTGGGGGGAACTGTGTCAAGGCCTTCCGCAGTCTAGGAAAACGCAATCAACCCACCCCCCCCCTCTCTCATGCTTACTTTTATTACCCTTTTCATAAAACTCAGGGGCTTGTGACACGGATTTGCCTTCCGAACCCGCTGGGGTTTTATTTAATAATCTTGTTCCGTTCCAGGGGTTTCCCCCCTCGCACCCATGACGTTGCACACAATACATATCAGGACCAGGGCTTAGTTTAGGCCTCATTTCTGTTTTCCCTTTTTTAAATTGGGGGCAAAATTTGCTGTCTTTCATTTCTCGGGATTGCCTATTTCAAGGGGGTATTTAAAATTTTTGGTAGGGGCACGCACGCATTTTGCTCCTTCTCTAAGGGTCCCCTGGGGAGATTTTTCCGGTCCCATCGCCCTTTAGGTATCAAGGGCACTTAGCAGCTTCTGCACCCCCTCCTCGGTTTTTTGTATGTCACCCAAACACTTGTTGGTATATTCCCTCTTGATGTTTCCTTCTGTGCTGTCTTCCCACAGCCCTTCCTGTCTCTACTGTAGAAACTTCCTTAAATCTCCTGTTTAGTCCTCACATACCTCCTGATCATTTTTTTGTGAGTTCTCCACCTCTGTCCTCAATCTGATTCACCTGGTCTTTGACTGTTGTCTTCCCCCTGTTTGTGGCTATACAACAGTTTTGGTCAGTCTTGATTTTCGATGCTATGTTATTTTCATACTGTCGCTGGCCTCCCTCCTTACCTGTGGGTTACTCGTTCCTGGCTCTGCGACTGATCTCCCTATTTTCATGTGTTCTCTGCCTTCTGTACGTTTCCATTCTCTATTGCACTTTGTTTTTGCCTCCGTACACCGTCGGGTAAACCAGGGCTCGGTTCGGTCTTCCCATTGTTTCTGTTGCCCCTTTGGGGAATAAACCTTTCCACTGCCTCCTTGCATTTTGTTGTTACATTTTTCCATCATTTCGTTTACTGGCTTTCCTACCAGTTCTCTGTCCCACGGAACCTCCTGCAGGAAGTTCCTCAACCCTATGTAGTCCCCATTTTTATAGTCAGGCTTTTCCCATTCCACTCCTGTTACTCTCTCCACGTGTGCGTGTGTGTGTGTGTGTGTGTGTGTGTGTGTGGTGTGTGTGTGTGTTGTGTTGTGTTGGTTTTTGTGTTGTGTGTGTGTGTGTGTGTGTGTGTGTGTGTGTGTGGTGTGTGTGTGTGTGTGTGTGTGTTTGTGTTTGTGTGTGTGTGTGTGTGTGTGTGTTTTGGTGCGGTGCGTGTGCGTGGGTGTGTGTGTGTGTGTGTGTGTTGTGTGTGTGTGGGGTGTGTGTGTGTGTGTGTGTGTGTATGTGAATAAAGCAATGACTGTTGTAATAAGATTTGTTAATAATATAAATTTCAAGACATGATGTATAAACTTGAGGTTCTGCCTTACATTGCAGATTGTCGCTGTTCGGGAGGTGAAGAGGAATCTAAGCGTAGAAGTAAGTAATGCTCTGACTACTTTTATCTATTATCTGTGTTATATCTATAAACTATAAAATTTTCCTTATCAACCAAGAGCTGTTAAATCATTTTTAAAGCATTTTAAATTAGGTATTTGCAGAAGAGTCATACATCAAACGTTATTACATATATTGTATACTAGAACATCCTGGTGTGGAATCATTTTTGATTCCCTCAACATTTCACTGCTTCTCTTCCTTCAGATTCAACGGACTTATGAGAATTGGTAAAAGGTGTCAAATTAACAAACTAGTCTTAGCCTTTTCTTTCCCTTGTGATTATACTTTTCCTTGTTAAACAATTTACTGAATATTTTTTTTTTTAATTTCATGTCAATTAATCATCAATCTGCAGTGCAACTCATCAAATTAATGTTATCCGTAGTGGCTTTAAGTTGCGAGAGACCATTCGTATTCCTGCACGGTCACTGTATCTTGGTGGAGTCAAAGAAAACGGGCAACTGGAATGAAATGAAAACATTCTGCAACCACAAAGGCACCGAGATGGTAAAGGTGGACAGTGAGAACTTTATGTATTATCTTGTCAAGTACCTCCACGAGAACGGTGAGATTTTGTTCTAAAGTATTATTTTGTTCTTAAAGTGTGAAATATTATTATTATTACTATTATTATTATAACCAAGTGGGAAGCGCTAAACCTGTAGGATTATACAGTGCCTGAGGGGGGATGTGGAAGATATTCAGGCTAAATTCAGGGAACCGGAGCACAGATTCAATTCCCTAGATCAAGAGCCCCTCATGTTCATCAAGGAACCTTCCTGGAGGGGCCTTGCTATATAATGCTCTGAAATAAAGGCAAAGAGGACAAAAGAGAGTGCAAAAATTATAGGGTAATAAGTCTGTTGAATGTACCTGGTAAAGTGTATGGTAGAGTTATTATTGAAAGAATTAAGAGTAAGACGGAGAGTAGGATAGCAGATGAACAAGGAGGCTTTAGGAAAGGTAGGGGGTGTGTAGCCCAAGTGTTTACAGTGAAACATATAGGTGAACAGTATTTAGATAAGGCTAAAGAGGTCTTTGTGGCAGTTATGGATTTGGAAAAGGAGTATGACAGGGTGGATTGGGGGCAATGTGACAGATGTTGCAGGTGTATGGTATAGGAGGTAGGTTACTGAAAGCAGTGAAGAGTTTTTACGAGGATAGAAAAAGTAGGCCTTAGACAAGGATGTGTGATGTCACCGTGGTTGTTCAATATACATTTATAGATGTGAAGTGAATGCGAGGGCCTTGGCAAAAGGTGTGGAGTTAAAAGATAAAGAATATAACACAAAGTAACAGCTGTCACAGTTGCTCTTTCCTGATGACACTGTGCTTTTGGGGAAATTCTGAAGAGAAGTTGCAGAGGTTGGTTGATGACTTTGGTAGGGTATGTAAAAGAAGAAAATTAGAAGTGAATATAAGAAAGAATAAGGTGATGAGGAAAAAAAACATTAGGCAACGAAAGACTGGATATCAGGTTGGAGAGAGAGAATATGCAGGAGGTGAATGTATTCAGATATTTAGGAGTGGACGTGTCAGCAGATGGGTCTACGAAGGATGAGGTGAATCATAGAATTGACGAGAGAAAAATGGTGAGTGGTGCACTTGGGAGTCTCTGGAGACAAAGAGCTTTGTCCTTGGAAGCAAAGAAGGGAATGCATGACAATATAGTTATATGGGTGTGAACCATGGGTTGTGAATGTTGCAACAAGAAGGCCGCAGGCAGTGGAGATGTCATGTCTGAGGACAATGTGTGGTGTGAGTATAATGCGGAGAACTGGTAGTCTGGAAATTAAGAGGAGGTGAGGGATTACCAAATCTATTATCCAGAGGGCTGAGGGGTTGTTGAGGTGGTTCGGACATGTAGAGAGGCTGGGACAAAATGGAATGAGTTCGAGAGTGTATAAATCTGTAGTGGAGGGAAGGAAGGGTAGAGGGCAGCCTAGGAAAGGTTGGAGAGAGAGGGTAAAAGAGGTTTTGTGTGCGAGGAGCTTGGACTTTCAGCAAGCATGTGTGAGCGTGTTAGATAGGAGCTAAAGGAGACAAATGGGTTTTAGGACCTGACGTGCTGTTGGAGTGTGAGCAAAGTAACATTTATGAATGGATTCAGGGAAACCGGCAGGTCGGACTTGAGTCCTGGATGAGGGAAGTACAGAGCCTGCACTCTGAAGGAGGGGTGTTAATGTTGCAGTTTTATAACTGTAGTGTAAAGCTCCTCTCTGGCAAGACAGTGATGAATGATACTAAAAGATTTCTTTTTCGGGCCACCCTACTTTGGTGGGAGACGTCCGATGTGTTAATAAAAAACTGAGACACTAATAATGTATAGAAACATCATTTATAGAGTTTACATGTTACTTTAGTGTCCTTTTTCTTTCAATTCGCCTTTTTTTCACAAATTGCTTTTTGATATATTTTTAACAGGCTTAGCTGTGGTGGATTATTGGGTCGGAGGATCAGATCAGGGTAACGAGGGAACGTTCTTCTGGCCCGATGGTATCCGAGTCAAGATGGGAACACCGTTTTGGGGTGACGGTCCTGACGACCATGTCCAGGAACCTGATGGAGGCGCCGGCCAGAACTGTATTGGCATGTGGAAAGACGATCATTATTTTCTCTTCGATTATAACTGTAATGACAGAATTGGAGTTATTTGTGAGAAAGTGTAACTTAAATAACAGTCACAATACCGTGACTGGAACAATACACAAATAACCCGCACATAGAAGAGAGGAGCTTATCACGACGGGCACTTCTTCCTTTATTATTTTCCCCCCTCTAGCTCCCTTGTGGGCCCCTAGTTCCTTTGTGGGCCCCTAGCTCCCTTGTGGGCCCCTAGCTCCCTTGTGGGCCCCTAGTTCCCTTGTGGGCCCCTAGCTCCCTTGCAGTGCTCCTCTTAATATCTGACTGACTCCACTACTTACTACTACTACTCCGTGATAAATAGTTTTGAAAACCGACAGCTTGAAGAACTGAGACACTTAAGCAACATATGGGAATCTTTATTGAAGAAATGTTTCGTCACACAGTGGCTTCATCAGTACAATACAAAGCAGGAAGGTATAAGGAGAGGAGGAGTTAAGGTAATCAGTCCCTCAGCCTGGAATCGATGTGTTCTGTCCATCACTCTTGTAGAAGCCCATCCCTCTTGTAGGACATAGGTCCGTAGAAGTGTGGCTTATATACTGCAGTCAAGTGAGTGGAAGCAGCAGGAGGCGTGATCATAGTAGGACCATCCACTAGTGTAAGTAGGTCTTCATCCAAAGATTGGACAAGTGTTGAAGAATCCCTTATATCAAGATCCCATGATGTTGCAGTGTCTGACATGTGATAAATGGTTTTGAAAACCGACAGCTTAAAGAATTCACTGTAACTACTACCTCCACTACTTCCTTTCTCGCCCCGTCCCTTTCTGCTGGCCTATACAATCTCCCTCCTTCTCTCCTTTTCGTTAGTGTGACTTTGCAAATGGTCGAAGTCGGACCGAAACGTCGTCGTAAGCTCCTCTCTCTTATGTGCGGGTTGTTTGTGTAAAGTGTAACTTGTTTACGAGTGAATGGTCCTGGAGAGCTTGTGGACAGTACGTTGACAGTGAATGGTCCTGGGGAGCTTGTGGACAGTACGGTGACAGTGAATGGTCCTGGGGAGCTTGTGGACAGTACGGTGACAGTGAATGGTCCTGGGGAGCTTGTGGACAGTACGGTGACAGTGAATGGTCCTGGGGAGCTTGTGGACAGTATGGTGACAGTGAATGGTCCTGGGGAGCTTGTGGACAGTACGGTGACAGTGAATGGTCCTGGGAGCTTGTGGACAGTACGGTGACAGTGAATGGTCCTGGGGAGCTTGTGGACAGTACGGTGACAGTGAATGCAAAACATCAATTAGAATATAGTTGAGGTACTGTACCAAAGATTTTGTATTATGAAACATGATCTTTGAATTTTGTAGAATATATGAGGCTTGAGATCAGTGTTTAGAGGGAATATTGTACTGAGAATAAAGAGTGAAGAAACTAGAAGATAGTGTGAAAATGGGAGAGGTAGAGCTCAGAAAGATTGAATGATAATGATGAAAGATGGTAAAATCAGAAGATGGCTGGATAAAAGCTGTGAAGTAGATTTTGACAGGAAATGGACAGGACATGAAATACTCCTGAGTATGTTAGACTGGAGTGAGTAGAGGCAAGTGTTGTTAGTGAGAGTGTGTGTAGAGGCAAGTGTTGTTAGTGAGAGTGTGTTAGAGGCAAGTGTTGTTAGTGAGAGTGTGAGTAGAGGCAAGTGTTGTTAGTGAGAGTGTGTGTAGAGGCAAGTGTTGTTAGTGAGAGTGTGAGTAGAGGCAAGTGTTGTTAGTGAGAGTGTGAGTAGAGGCAAGTGTTGTTAGTGAGAGTGTGAGTAGAGGCAAGTGTTGTTAGTGAGAGTGTGTGTAGAGGCAAGTGTTGTTAGTGAGAGTGTGAGTAGAGGCAAGTGTTGTTAGTGAGAGTGTGTGTAAGCGTTAAAAAGGGGAAATTTCGTTGTGTTTTTTTGATGAGAGAACTAAGGAGTGAAGCTTATTCAAGGTTGGCAATTGAGTAAAAAGATTAAAGATAATTTCAAAGATATTTTAAGGAGAAAGATATTTAAGGATCGGGTACTCTGATTAGGTTCCATTTTGGGTTAAACGTCGTATATTACCAACATATTAATATACGTCGTATATTACCAACATATTAATATACGTCGTATATTACCAACATATTAATATACGTCGTATATTACCAACAATATATACTCGTATATTACCAACATATTAATATACGTCGTATATTACCAACATATTAATATACGTCGTATATTACTAACATATTTTATAAGAAATCAAATGTGGAAACAAAAGACAATGAAAACTGTCAACCTCAGCTGGAAGACTTCAGTAAGACGATGACGATATCGTCAAAAAGCATAATAACTTGACAAAAATGCAGTATTAAAGGGGGAAAATTTCAAAAATTTAAATTTTGGGAAAAGGGGGTTTAAAATCAATACAAAAAACTTGGTTTTTTGACTTGGAAAAAGCCCGGTTTTTGAGGGGGAAAGTAGTAAAACAAGGGTTTTTTGGGGGTTGGTTGGGGGGCGTATTGTTTAATTTTAACCTTTTGTTGTAATTTTTAAAAAATTTTTATAAATTAATAACTTTTTTCAGGGAGGTAAAAAAAGGTTTTAAAAAGAGTTATAAAAAGGGGTTTTTGGGTTTTTGTTGTAAAAAGGGTTTTTATGGGTTTGTAGGAGAAAAAATTGCTTTTTTAAGTGAATGTTTGCTTTAAAAATAAAATTTTTTTTTTAAAAAATGGATGTGTTATTCAAGGGGTTAGAAAAATTTGGGAAAATTTAAAAGGGTTTTAAAGGGAGAAAGATTTTAAGGACGGGGTTCGTTTGGGGGGATTCCCCTTTTGGGAAAAAGGTTTTTTCCCCTATTTAACGTGGTATTTTAAACATATTTTAACGCTTTAAAATTATTAATTTTAGGATTTCCAAAAAATTCGGGTTTTTCCCCTTTTAATGTTATATTAAAAACCATATTTATAAAAAAATTTAAGGGGAAAACCCAAAAAGTCCTCGGGGTTCAGATAAACGAGCCGGTTGGTAAAAATTCATAAAATTTAAAAAAGGGTTAAAGGGAAAACAAACATTTTCCCACCCCTTCTTTTAAAAAACATGAGATTGGGTTTACAAAAAATAAATGTTTCTTTTTTTTTAGTGGGAACAAAATTTTTTCCCAAACTCCTTAGAAAAACAAACCCCAGGCCCATTAACTAAGGTTTTTTGGTAACTGGGAAGGGAAGGGGGAAACATTTCTCGGGAACATTTTCTAAACCATACCAAACCCAATTTTTTGTGATAAAATTAAAAGGGGAACATAAAAGGGAAGGGTTTTTTTAACCTTAAGTTTTCCAAAAAAAAATTTGGAACCTAACTTCTGTTTTTTAATTTAAAAGGGGGAATTATAAAGAGGTGTTGGCTGGGATTTCAAAAAAAACCCTTTGTTTAAAAGAAAAATAGTTAACCAGGGGTTTGAATAAAAATTTTGGGTTTATCAAAATAACCTTCCTTGAAAAAAAAATTTAAACCACCTTCCCTTTGGAAAATTAATAGAATGGGAAATTAAAAAAAAACTTTTTTCCCGGCTTTGGAAAAAAAATTTATTTCAAACCCAGTAAAAACCCCACGGGACCAAGACGTAGTAATGTAAAAAGTTTAATTTTCCCAAAAATTTTAAAAATCCAACCCCCCTTTGGAAAAATTAAAAACTTTAAAAGGGTTTTTTACCCCAAAACTTCCCCTAAAACGGGGAAATATACTTAAATTATTTTACCAAAAAGGAAAAATTTAATAGATGGTTTAACCAAAAAAAAACCCAAATTTTTAAAATAAAAAAATTTAAACGGGGAAATTTTTTTCATAGGCCAAAAAACCTTCTCACGGGAAGAAAATTTCCTTTTCCGTTAATTAAAATTTTAATTAATAAAATAAAATAAAAAAAATTTAAAAATTAAAAATTAAAACAAAATTAATTAAAAAAAATTAATAATTTAAAAATTTTTAAAAATAATAATTAAAATTTAAAATTTTAATAATTTTTTAAACCCAACCCCCCAAAAAAAAATAAAAAATAATAATATTTAAAAAAAAAACCTAATTATATAAAAATTAAAAATAAAAAAATGAAAATTTTATAAAAATAAATAATAAAATTTTTAATTAAATAATAATAATAATAATAATAATAATAATAAAAATAAAAAAATTAAAAATTTAATAACAATAATAATAATAATAAAATAATAAAAATTAATAAAAATTAAAAATTTAATAATAAAAAATTTAAATAATAATAATAATAAAACAATAAAAATAAAAAATTTAATAAAAATAATAATAATAAAAATAAAAATAATAATAATAAAATAATAATAAAAATTAATAATAATAATTTTTAATAAAATTTTTTAAAATAATTTTAAAATTTAAAAATAAAAAGAAAATTTTCTTTCATTTTAAAAATAATTCCAATAATAATTTTAAAATAATTAATTTTTAAAATAATTAAAATTTTTTTTAAAAATTTTTTTTTAAAATTTTCCCCCCCTTTTTAAACCCCCTTTTATTTTTTTTTTTAATAAGGAATTAATTAATATTAAATAAATTTTTTTAATTTTTCCCCCCCCCCCCCCCCCCCCCTTGGGGGGGCCCCCGAATAAAAAAGAAAACCTTTTAAACATTCCCCCATACGGGGTTTTCCGGGGGGGAACCGTACGTTTTTAAAACCCAAAAAAAATTCTGTTCAATTTTTAATGAAACTTTTTTTCCCGGGGACTAATTTGTTGGTTTTCCCTAATTTAAAAAGTCCCTTGGGGTGCTAAATAAAAGGTTGGTTTTCCCTTAAAAACCCTTTGTCTAAAACTTTTGGTGTTACTATTTTTTAAATGTACGGGGAAAGTGCGGAAAAGTGTTGGTGTTACAAATTTTTAAATGAAAGTGTGGTGCAAAAACAAGTGTTGGTTTTTCTATTTTTAAAAATGTACGTGTGATTGCAGCCAAAAGGGGTTGGTTTTACTATGTTTAACTGTACGTGTGAGGGAAAGGCCATAAGTTTTGGGTGTTATATTTTTAAAAACGGGTACGTGTGAGTGCGAGACATAAGTGTTGGTGTTACAATGGTTTAAAACTGAAATTTGTGGGAAAGAATAATTTGTTGGTTTTTTACTATGTTTAACTGTACGGGGGTGAGTGAAGGGGACATAAGTTTTGGTTTTTATTTTTTAAAACGTACGTGTGAGGGGCAAGAAAAAGTGTTGGTGTTACTTTTTTAAAAACTGTAGTGTGAGGGCAAGACTAAGTTTTTGGTTTTTTATTATGTTTAACTTTTAAGTGGGGAGTGAAAGGGACATAAGTTTTGGGTTTTAAATTTTTTTTAAACTGTAGGGGGTGAGTGCGGACTTTAAGTGTTGGTGTTACTATTTTTTAACGTACGTGTGAGTGCAAGGCCCAAGTTTTGGTGTTATATTTTAAACTGTACGTTTGATTTGAAAAAGACAAAAAGTTTTTGGTGTTATTTTTTTTAACTGTACGTGTAAAAGTGCAAGGCATAAGT